TCTGACTCTATGGTACAATGACTAGGGAGGATAGAAGGAGAGTTGATGCCTTTGAGCTGTGGTGCTGGAAAAGAGTATTGAATGTTCCATGGACTGCCAAGAAAACAAACAGATCCATCCTAGAGAGGGTTAAACCAGGCTACTTCTTGGAGGCAAGGATTCTGGGGCTTCGTTTGACATACTTCAGACATGTTGTAAGGAGAGACAGGTCCTTGGAGAGGGACATCATGCTTGGTAGGGTAGAGGGACAGCGCAGGAAGGGAAGACCCTCTATGAGGTGGATTGATTCAGTGACTGGGCTAGTCAGGATGGGTGTGTCAGAGGCAATGTGATTGGCAAAGGATAGAGCAGGGTTTAGGGCTGTTGTACATAGGGTCACTATGAGTCACAAACGACTCAATGGCACATAACAACAACAACAACGTGGTACATAACAAGAAACTTTGTCAAAGTCATAGAGCTGTATTCTCAGTTTCCATCTTGTTTGTAATTTATTCCTTAATAAGGTTAATTTAAAATAAAAAATCTAATGTGAAGGTTGTTGTTGAATGCTGCTAAATCTATTTAAAGTCATAGCCACTCAAATATGAGAGAGGAGAATTGACTCAAAGACTTTTCTTGCTCTGGTGGTGCAATACTTAAGAACTCAACTGCTAACCAAAAATTGAGTCATTTGAGCCCATCAGTCACACCAAAGAGAGAAAAAGGACTTGACAATTTGTTCCCATAAAGATTTACACGCTAGAACTTTCTATGGAGTTCTACACCGTCATATATGGTTGCTTTTGGGACAGAATAAACATGAAAGCTCACAGCTTTCTTCTTACTAGCAGATGGATAGTTCATTCTTGTGTAGAGCTGATTGATGAATATAAATCACCAGCTTTCCACTTAGAAGTTGGTCTCTCAGCCATTGTGTCACCAGACTAATATGAAAATTAGTCTCTAGAAACTAAAAGTGTACAAAAAATGCTTACAATTTCATTAACCCTAAAGAAAATTACTGACCATTCCTCATGAGTGCTAATAGTTACTTCTACCTTAAATATTTAGTGATACCTACTTAGTTTAGAATATACATGCAAAAGAGAAGATAAAGAAGGATAAAGGTCAAGAGGGACGTTTTAAAGGACAATTTATTCTTGCAGTAATTTTTTAATGTAATTTGAGTGTAAGATTATAGTGCAAATTGGCTTTCCATTCAATCATTCACAAGCATTTTGTTTTATAATATTAATTATAATGACTATATTGTAACAGTTTTCTTCCAACAACCTCTTAGGAGTCTCATATTCATTCATTTTTTTCTACTGTAACCCTTCTTGATGTATGAATTTGACCCTTAGGCAAATCCTGTTATTTGCATCTTCTTTTTGTCATATGCCATCAAGTCGCTACTCATAATGATCCTATGTACAGTAGCTCTGAACTGTGCCCTATCCTGAGCCAGTCTTACTGTCTCTGACAAACCTACCCGCATAACCCCAGCTACTGAGTCAATCCATCTCATCCAGGATTTTCCTCTCCTGAGCCGTCCCTCCACCCTTCCAACCATTATGTCCTTCTCCAAGGACTGGTCTCTTCTGGCCACGTGCCCAAAATGTGTAAGAAAGAGTTCAAAATCCTTGCCTCCAAGGAGCAAGCTTATTTTCACTTTCTCCAAAACAGACTTGTTTGTTCTCTTGACCATCTATGGTATATTCAAGACTCTTCTCCAGCACCACAATTCAAAGGTACTGATTCTTCTTGTGTCTTGCTTACTTATTGTTCAGATATCTGATGCATAGCAAGTACTTGCAAATACTATGGCTTTAATCAGGCGTACCTTAGTCTCTAGACTGACAATATTGCTCTTTAGCACTTTGGAGAGGTCCTTCACAGCAGATTTCCCTAATGCAATTCACCTTTTGATTTCCTGATTCCTGGTGGCAAGACTGTTGATTGTGGAGCCAAGCAAGCTGAAATTATTTATATTATTAATCTCCTCTCTGTCTATCATGGTACTGAGAATTTTTGTCTTCTTGATGTTGAACTTCAATTCATACTAAAGACTATAGTCCTTGACCTTCTGCGGCAAATACTTCAGGTTCTCCTCAGTTTCATCAAGCAAGGTTATATCATCTGCATAATGAAGATTTTTGATGAATCTTCCTCCAATCCTAATGCCACATTCTTCCTCATAAAGTAAAGCCTTCCGAATAATTAGTTCCACATATAGATTGAAAATGTATGGAGACAAGATGCATCCCTGACACACTCTTTTCCTGATTTTGAGCCATGTAGTGTTTCCTTGCTCTGTTTGGATGACTGCTTCCTGGTCCAAGTATAAGTTTTCCATGAACACAATTAAGAGTGTTGGGATTCTCATTCTTTTCAAGATTAGCCACAGTTTATTGTGATCCACAGAGTCAAATGCTTTGCATAGTCAATGAAATACAGAAAGATACTCCTGTTATTCTTTTCTTTCAGTCAAGATCCACCTGACATTGGTGATAATGTCTCTAGTTCCACAGCCTCTTCTAAAACCAGCTTGTGTTTCCAGTTCTTGCTCAATGTACTATTCCTGTCATTTTTAGACATTCTTCACCTGGATTTTGTTTGCATGTGATATTAGTGATAGTGTTCAATAATTTCTACACTCTTTTTTTGGGGGGAATAGGAATAAAAATGAATTTCTTCTATTTTTTTACTATATAATAGAGCCAACAGGAAGCAAAGTTATGTAGACGTCTAAGTCATAACCACTAATTCTGAGAGATTCATTTAATCCACAATTATCACCCTTGATACCAGTAGTCAGGAAATCAGAAGACATATTGCACTAGGAAAGTCTTCAGTTAGGCACTCTTCCAAATTATTGAGGAAAAATGTCAGGTTGAGTACTAAAGTGCATTTGGTTCAGGCCATGATCTTGCCAATCACTTGCTAAGCATCTAAGAGCAGAACAATGAATAAGGATGACAAAAGAAGAATTGATGTCTTTGAGCTGTGCTGTTGGAGAAGAGCACTGAACATCACATGGATGGCCAAAGGAACAAACAGATATGTCTTGGAGAGGGTACAGCCAGAGTGCTCTTATTATATTTCTTTATCTATTCTAGGGCTGAAATACCTCCCTGACGTTTCTGTTCACCTTGTCACTGAAAGCTCTAACTAACTCATTTTCATGGAGTCAGAACTGACTCATAGCTGATCCTCCAGCAGATTTTCAGAGACAATAAATTCTCATGGGAGGAGTCTGACCATTTTTCTGTCTCAGAGCCGCTGGTAAATCTGAACTACCTGCCTTTAGCTTGTCAACAACTCTCTATCCACTGTCTAGGTGATTCAAAGATGAACCACAGTGACGAGTTTAATTCCAAGTCCTAAGAGTGACGAAGGGCTGCAGTCTTGGGGGCTTTGGCAGTCCTGATCACATCAGCAAGTCTGGCCATTTTCATGATTTTTATTTTTTTAATATTTATTTCTTCCCCCTATTTAGGACTTTCTACTATGATCGCTTTTAGAGCAGTCAGATGTGCTAGCTGGGCACCATCCAATTTTGCTGGTCTCAAGGTTATGGAGGTTGGAGTTCACAAGATCTATTGGCCCTTTGGACTTATTGCTTCAGCACACCTTCACTTTTCTTCCCTCTTTGTTCTGGGCAGCGAGAGACCAATAATTGCACCTTAAAGAGCTGCCCAAAAGCTTTTGAGGGCCCAGCCACTACTCACCAAAGCTGGATGTAGAATATCTTTGTGGACTGATTTATGCCAACTGACCTTGACATCCCCAGAAACTATTATCCTTGAGGCCCTTGGACTAACCATTTATTTTCTCTGTGTTGCTGATAGTGATTTAGAAGTTTACATAATTTTTATGCCTGTTGGCTCTACTATATACACAGATACATTTATAGGATTTGCACATATTCATGTTCAAACATCATCTTCTGGCAATGGCTTTTTCATTCTATTTTCCCCAAGTACACCAAAAGAAATTTGTGACTAATATATTAACTGCTAATATACTTTTCAAATAATAGTAATCATGTATTTTATTATAATATTTTTTAAAATATTTTAAAAGATTTAAAATCTGTTTACAAGATTGCAAAAATACTCTAAAAATGTCTAAGCAGCTTTGAAAATAGATTTCAATTATCCTTGATTTCCCTGAAAATACTCACTTGCCATGTGTTCTGATTTCTTTTAGTTCTAACCACATTTTTCAGGTCCTCTTTTCACTAGACCTTTTATCTAACAGTTGCTTATTTTTACAAAAGACAAGTCATAATAAAGGGAAATACAGTGTTCATTATTTATCCCATTTTCTTAGTTTCCTGCCAACCCTCATATCAGTCCTGTGTTAAAACAGTAGCATTATGCAGATTTTATCCTTTTGTGACTGAGTTATTTCACTCAACATAATGTCCTCCAGGGCTGCCCATGTCATATAATATTTACAATTTTTTTTATGAATTACTTGCTTTTTAGTTCTGCATAGAATTCCATTGTGTGAATATATCACAGCTTCCGTATCCATTCATTTGTTGATGGGAAAGAATGGTTTTGCATGACAACAGTCCAGAATAAGAGATGCATAGCAAAGTGGACTGGGGCAGTGGGAGGAAGGAAGCTATGCAACAATGAATGAATATTTTTAAAAAAAACACAAACTAACCAGTGGAGAGGTGGGAGGTAGGGATGAAAATGTGTAAGAATCAATGAGTGGAAATCCAAGTTTTCTAAAATCATGGTTAAAAATTATTTTCATAAAAATATCCAAAAGAGGTGATATAATGAAATATCATTGCTGACATCAGATGGATTTTAAATAAAAGCAGAGAATCAAATAATAATTTTAAAAAGTAAAGGGAAAAATACCGCAACCAAGCTAAAGTTGTCACTGAGCTGGTGTAGAACACTACAGTGATTATTTGTAGCCTTCTGTTCTAATCATTTGATCAAGCTGCCTTTGCTTTTCTAAGATTTTTCTTTTTCTTACATTTTTTTTTCTAGAAATTTGATACATTAGTAGGAGAGAACGGAGCTCAAATGAGTGGAGGGCAAAAACAGAGAATTGCAATTGCTCGAGCTTTAGTTCGAAACCCCAGGATCCTGATCTTAGATGAGGCTACATCTGCCCTTGACACAGAAAGTGAATCTATCATTCAAGCTGCACTGGAGAAGGTAAGAGAGCAGATGCTTTTTAAAAGAGTCATTTTCTGAGTTCATTGTGACAGAGTCCTGGGGATGTAGTGGATAATGTTTCTGCTAACTGGAAGATTAACAGTTCAAATACAATAGCTACCCTGAAAAAGAAAGATGGGTATTCTCTGTCCATAAAAATCTATAGCCTCATAAACCCAGTAGAGGGTCATTATGAGTCAGAAATGACTCCATGGCAATGGATTGGGGTCATTGCTTTTTTTATTTTTTTTTTTTGTCATTGCTTTATAAATACAAGTTACTACACTGGCTTACTACAGTGCTGTTCCAACAACTCTTTCCTAAGTTGGTTTTGATATAAATTTATTGTTTTTTTGTTTTCACTAGTGTTTGTTGTCTTTTGTTATCAGTATCTTTAAAAATCCAGAAGTGTTTTGAACAGGTAATCATAAAACTGAACATCTGCATGCAAACATCAGAGATAGCATCAGCATTTTGCATGCTGCAACATATTTGATAAGCAATAAGATATACCATACAGCAAAGCAAAATGGAGAGTTTTAAGTGTGGTTTGTCAAAACTAATGTCAGAAGCTGGGGACTACCAAGAGCGTGAGGATCTGTAGTGGGCTGTTTAATAAGTGTGAAGTCCTCCTTGAGGTGAAAATGAAGAGTATTTTTCTTTTTATGTACTTATGTGATAATTACAGGGCATGATTAGGAGGAGAGGAGATACAAAAGAACAGAAAATGAGTCTGCTGTTTATTAAATGACTTCATATCTGCAGAATGGATTGATAGTGGCTGCACCAATGGGACATGTGGGAGATTGTGAGGATAGCACAGGTTAGGACAAGGTCCCCATCTGATTTTCATATGGTCACTATTAGTCACAGACAGCTCGATAGCACATAACACGAGTCACAACCACAGCATTGTAGCATGTCTGCAGTTGAGAACACCACCAACCACTATTGCTATTGTAACCACATCAGTCATTGGCCCCTTTTATGCGTCTCTTTGAGATTCTCTTCTTTATTTTCCCCCTTGAAGCCACCCTGGCTTATTCAATAGGTCCCTGGATGGTGCAAACAAGTAACACTGAATTATTAACCTGAAGGCAGGTAGTTCTAACCCGCCTAGGAACACCATGGAAGAAAAAAGCCTGATGATCTAATTCTATAATGATCACAACCAACAAAACTCTGTGAAGAAGTTGTATCTATATCATATGGAGTTGCTATGACCCAGGGTCAACATGGTAGCAACAGATTTAGCTCTTTGGTTTGGAGTTATCATTTTAACCTAATTTTCCCTCAAGTAGAGAAGCACGTACTCTGGTTTATGCTGACCTTGAGTCACCCCTTCCAAAAGCCCTAGGCCTCCAAACCTTGCACTTGACCTCCTGCTTACAAACGTATATTTTTTGGCCACAATTCAGTGGTGGCCCTATACTAAATTACACAGCATCCCATAAGGTTGGCAGTGGTGATAGGAAAATCCATCAACTACTGTTTCAATGGCCAAACCTTCTTTTAAATCATGGCCTGCAGACCTCTCAGAAGGCTTAATGGCATTTTACTGTGAGTTTGGCTGGAAATGTGTTAAGTGTTTTTCTCTCTAAGAAAATTACAGGCTTCTCTTTTTAAATAGTGACTTTATGGAAACAAATGGATACTGGCAAGCAGAATGTCCTACTGCTTATTGAAAAATACTATTAGTCACTATTATCTACTTGCACATCATTTTGAATAAGGTCTTGTTTCTGTCCCAGGATGAGAATGCCACATACTGTTTATATGATAAGAAAATCCTTGCTTATTAGGGATATTTTTCCGATGGAGGTCATCTTATGGAAGAAGAGACAACTCCCTCAAGGGCAGGGCTATGTTTTATTCATTTTTTATATTTAGTAACTAGGACAGTGCTCTATACATAGAACGTACTTAATAAATGTGGGTTTTTTAAACAATGGTGATGTTTAATTAGGTCTTGAATGTATCAGAAAATTATATTTTACATAATTATCTCAACTTATGTAAAGCTTTTTAAAAAAATATATTGTAATTTTTGTGCCATTGGTTTATAATCCAAAGTCTTAATCACATCAAGCAATCAAAACCAACTCAGACTTTTAAAATAAAGAGTAGCTTGGTGATATAATCTATCATCAAGCTACTAGTTGAAATCAAATCTATGTCATACATCATAAAAAAGAGAGACTGCAAAATACTTGAGAACTATGATTGCCATTGTACAAAAATAATGAAGACAATGTATGTAAAAATAGTACATTGTGTAGCAAACTATAGGAGAGTTATAGTACTTTGATAATTTCCATTGTCACTGCTATTATTCAGATTTAAAATAGTCTATTAAAATCAATATCATGGGAGTGAGTAAGTTGGAAACTTCCATAAGCAAGGTTTTTCTAATCATTTCTGGGCTGAGGGTAAAGAGTAATTAGTAGCACGTCAACTGGCACGATTGTCGGTGATGTTAGGTGCCATCACGTCAGTGATGATACATGGCGACCCTATAAACTACAGCTCTGAGATTTGCCCTATCCTGTGTCATCTTCATCATCTCTGGTACACTTGAACCCATTATTATAGACAAGGTGTCAATCTTTCTTGTTTAAGGTCTTCTTCTCTTTAGCTGACCCTCCACCCTTCCAAACACAATATATTCATTACTACTCCGCAACTTACTGGAAAATTGTTCAAGACAAAAAAAAGTGTTAAAATGCAGGCAAGATGCTAAAAACCTAGTTTTTAACATGAAAATGTGATAATGTCATCCTTTTGATGTCATCCAATTGAGCTCTTCCAGTGATTCTCCTTCCCATTCTAAGCAAAGTCAGATTCTTCACAATTAGCCATGAGAGTCCTCCACACTCACCACCACAGAGGGATTGCGTCTTTGCTCTTTGGAGAGGCCTCTGCATGAAAAAGGCAGAGTGCAGGACAGGTTTAATTCCCATTCCTTCATTTAAGATAAGGACTCTCAAACCTCACCACTTAGTGTAGGCTACCCTACTATCACAGGTAGCAAATTTTTACCACTCAAAATATCATGCAAACCATTATCCTCAGACAAAAAAGACCACAGTAAAATGTATCCTCATGGGTGTGTATAGCCTCCATTTCCCTCCACACCCTGTCTCCACCCGTTGCTCCCATCCCCACTCTCTATTACTCCATTTATATGTAATTCTGGAGTATCAGTAAAGCAAAACTAGTGTTATAAAATATCAAATAGTAGCTTCCTGGGGTAAGAAGTAGATTTCAATGAGAAAGAGATGAAAGGACTCATGGAATGATTTCAAAATCCTTATATTCAAGAAAGTTTCCTGGGGCTTGTGTTGAAAACGGACTCAAGTCGACAAGTGCTGAAGCCAAACCAAAACCTATTGTCAGTAAGTCAGTTCCAAGTTGCCGGAATCAACTCTATGGCTACAGATTTGGGGTTTGCTTCAGTCCTTCCCCTTCTCTGTTTCAACACAGCAACCATGTGATTCAGCTGAAATATAAACTTAATATTGTCACATTTCTACCTGAAATCCTTCAACAAGACTCCGTTTCATGCTAAATACAGTAAACTACACAGCTCTATGGGGTTGAACTTCAAGCTCATTGTTTTTATATTCTTGGTTTGCATACAATCCACTTATATTGTATTTCACACATATACATTGTGTTTTATATAATCTTTCATTTACATTGTGTTTCATATAATCATTCATATGCACTATACTTTAAAAAATTAATTATTATTGATCTATGCCTATGAGTCGCAAGCGACTTGATGGCACATAACAGCAACAATGCCTATTATTACCCCATCTTTTCAAATCCCTGTTGAATCTTTCCTATTCTTTCAGCTCCATTCCCACACCCACCCACTGAACTTGGCTCGCCTAATAATTTCATCCCTGCCCCTTTTTCTGCCCCTCTCCTATTTCTTTTTTTCCTTCTGGAGATTTATACATATCTTACTATTTATTCTCCTATTTTTACAATAATGGTCTTATGCAGTGTTTGTCCTTATGAAACTTAGTTCACTCAGCATAGTGTTCTCTAGATTGTCCCATGTAAATAGTAATTTACAAAATCATTGTTCTTTAGTGTAAATCATTGTCCTTTAGTGTTTAAGCTCCTTTTTGATCATGACTTTCCCCCATTCTCCCCTTGAACACACCATTGAACTTTTCATCATCTGATAGTCTGTCTGCATACTTACTCATTTTGTATTATTACCTCTTCTCCCTTGCTGAAATATGACTGCAAGGCCTTTGTTTAACTGCATTGTTTCCAATACTAGGACAATATCTGGCACTTAGCAGATGTTGTTGTTGTGTACTGTTGAGTCAGAACAAACCTATAGCTGCTGGACAGTGGGTTTTCAGAGTCAGTTAGTTGCATGGGGGGATATTGCTCCTCCTTCTTCCGTGGAGCAGCTTCCGTGGGTACCTTCGGGATTGCAGTGCAGCTTCTTGCCACTAGGCCACCAGTGCTCCCTACCTATGTTCATAGCAATGTTATTCAGAATAGCAAGAAAATGGAAACAGCGCAAATGTCCATCAACGAATGAATTGAGAAATTATGATATAATTTCGCAACAGAATACTATGCAGCACTAAGAAGCAAAGATTACATAAAAACATTGGAGAGTCTAGAAAGCATCAGACTGTGAACTAACTCAGTTTCATAAGGACAAAGATTGCATAAGACTATTATTGTAAAAATGTAAGGATAACTAGTAAAATGTATATAAAACTCTAAAAGGAGAAGAAAAGGAGGGTGGGAGGGCTGGAGTGTTGGTAGTAGAGGAAATCATTAGGATTACAGAGTTTGGTGGGCATGGTTTTGGTATGTAAAAGAATTAGGAAAAATCCATTGATGATATGAAAAGACAGGGCAACAGTAGGGGTAGATCAGTAGTGATTAATTTTATAAAACATGATGTGAATAATTGTAGGAAACACAATGTGAATGAAGTAATGTATGAAGCACATTGTAGA